GTTTGGCGGGAGCTGGATTAGAATTGACAGCTGGATAATGATGATAATGATTTTGTGTTTTTTGTTTTGCCTGATTTGATCATAGGTGCGTCTCAAACTGTGGTGGGGGAACATGACGTTTTTTGTTTTGCTTCACAATTACACAGACCAACCCACAAGCCCACTGAGAATGGACGTTTCCTCCATAGAGACACAATGGACGGCTCTTGGGATGTCTGTGGAAGAGAGCAAATGTTTCAAAATGATTCACTTCAACAAAACTCTTAAAGAAAATCATTTGTGGCATACAAAGTCAAAGAAGTATGTTTTAAAATTGCAGGAGAAAATGTATTGATCCCCAAATTGTTTATATCGGTTACATTTATCTTAGACTTCAAATATGTCAACTATATGCAGTTCAGTTTCTTGGATCGGTAATGGTAATATGTGTTTGTTATTATTGCATTTCCTGTGTTCCAACTGTTTGATTCTTTGATCTGTTGTTGGCGAATTGACGACTTTGTAATGTCCTCCGAGACGGCTGCTGTTGTGATTTATGGCTACACAAAAATAGGTTGAAAAAATACTTACTTACATGGTACTATAGTCAACATTGATTCATTCTTTTTAAAACAAAATACAATTGAAGTAAGTGAAATAACCACTTTATAATATCCTTCCAATCAAACTTCCAAACACTTTCTCCTGGCACATGATATTTTGCTATCTGTTTGGAGCCATGCCAGGACTTTCTCGCCCTTTCATGGGACGCTGAAGGAACCCTGACATCACATTACAAGCATGTGATAGGATCGATAAAAGTCGGCCCCCAGAGAAGAGCAGAGACTGGCTGCTGTCCAAGAGGAGGACAGCGGAGGCGAAACATATCAAGACAAATTCTGCACAGCTGTAATAGAAGCCAGAGCCTTTTTAGGACTGCGAGTCTTATGGGATTATGTCAGGCCTTTTCGCTCTCATGTGCAAACAGCCTGCATCCACACACTTACTGTACTAAACAACCAGCACAGTGCATTAGATGGGGATACGCCTATACGGTAGTTTTGTAATGCTATATTTATGGCTAAAACTGAGAATAACAGGGGTTTTGGAATGGTTTGATATGAAATGGGTTTGATCTTGCGCTTTATGGTGAATGAGTTTTATCGATTTGTTTCACAGTGACGATAAGTATTCAAGTACAGTATTCAATTTGATTTTTTTTTTGGTATAGGTCTAAATCACAACAGTGGTTATCTCGGAGGACTTTACAAAACGGATGAATTCGTCAACACAGATAAGAGAAAGACACTGTTCAGATACAAGAAATGCAATGATAAAAAACACATAGAGCCATTGGTCCATAAGGGGCAGATGACCAATGTCCATAAATGTTGAGAAATGGCCATTGTATGCATTCAATTAAAAGGTCTAAATCACAACAATATTTATCTCAGAAGAAAGATCCAACACAGGAATTGCAATGATTAAAAAATACATAGAGCCATTGGTCCATAAGTACACTTGTACTTGTACAGAGTCTAAATATTGTTTTGTGTTTTTGATCATGTTGTCTCTGGGTGCATTTATTCACATTAATTAACATTTATGGACATTGGTCATCTGCTCATTATGGACCAATGTGTTTGTTAATATTGCATTTCAAACTGATGGATTCTCTGATCTTTTGTTAAGGAATCGACAGATTTGTTAATCGTAAAACTGATTAAAGGCTATACAAAAAATAATCAAGTTGAATTCCTTCAGGTTAACACGACACATAAATGGTATGTACTGTATGGTCTATAGCAGAACATTTCAGAAAAGTTCTAAAATGTGTGTTCAGAAAGTGAAGGTCATGCTGCATATCCTATAGATTCCTTGTGCTATTACTTCAAGCCATTGTAAGAAATCACACGTTTGAAATGACTGAAAAAAAATCAATATCACGTTTACACAATGCAGTTTTTTTTTACTTTATACAGAGAAACTTTGAGCAAAAGTTTTTGAGATAGCATTTTTCCCACTGCACTGGGTTTTTCTTTTTACCACTTTTTTAATTAGAGTTTTTCCTTGTCAATGCAGGAGGGTCAAAGGACAGTGGTGATGATCCAGAACACTCGACGCTCAAAATTTTTGGACATTTATCATAATTTACGGACATTGGTCATCTGCCCCTTATGGACCGATGCCTCTATATGTTTTTCCTCATCGCATTTCTTGTGTTCAAACTGTTTGATTCTCTGATCTGTGTTGGCAAATTCAACTGTGACATTGAATTGCAAAGTCCTCCGTGATAACTACTGCTGTGATTTAGGGCTAGACAAGAATACATTGAATTGAATTGAGTTAAAAATCAATTCTCCATCTTTCCTTTTGCACGATATATAGAAAGAAAGATTCCCACAGAGATCAGCACACCCCTTCCTGTGTGTGTGTGTGTGTGTGTGTGTGTGTGCGTTTGTGTATGTGTGTTTATGTGTGTGTCTCGTTCCAGGTGAAGGTGTTAACTCGCACACAGGTGTAGTCCTTTAACACCTCCGTGACCCTCTTAGAAAGCCGTGCAAACCGCTGCTTTTGTGCTCCGACAAAGCCCTCAGCTCCTAATAACAGCTCCGGTCGTGTGGTGGCGCGATGGAGAAACCCGAGATAAGGCCCACATCACAGGGAGACGCTGGGAACGTTTTAATCCACCGCTCGCAAAAAAAACAAAACCGGCACAACAGCCGCGGATCATGTTTGGCAAATGGACCGCTTTGATGCTGGGATCGGATGGTGTAACGAACAAGAGGAGGAGGGAAACCAGTGATGGAAGGACAAAGGGTATTTCAGAGGGGAGGGCGGGATTTATAGGAGAATACAAGAGTTCATACCGACCAATGGGCTGCGAGTGATTGATTGATGGATTGATAGTGATGAGAATGGCATTAAAATTCTATTTCATTTAATTTCAATTCAATTTATTTCTGTGTAGCCCTAAATTACAATAGTAGTTTTCTCGGAGGAAGTTACAAATCTGTTGATTTCATCAGAGAATCAAAAAGTAATTCATTAATTTTCTCATCATGACAAAACTGTTGCAAATTTGTTGTGTATTTGCCATCACAGCTTTCAACTTTCCCTTCAGAGCAGCTATGTGTAAAGAAACAATATGATGTAGGCTAAAAAGAGCGATAAAAAGTATTTTCAAGCTGGAAAAGTGAATAATTTAAACACTATATATAGATTTTTTTATTTTTTTATTAATGTTTTATTTATTTTCAAATATTTACAAACACACACAGATCCAGGACAGAAATAAAAGATAAAATATATCCATCTGGATAAAAACGAAAAAAAAAAAAAAAAATCTGATAACGTGTGACAATCATCAATTTCCCACATTCTAAACGACGCAAACATACATACATGCACAGGTCCAGGACAATCAACAAAAAAAAAAATATATATATATATATATATATATAAAAGACAGAAAAGGAATTTTAACTTGTGTACTGTTCCACATTTTGTATATGCACTGTTAACCTTTACCAATATTATATTGGAATTCCCAAGCCAGATGATTTTCCTGGATTTACACCAGTTTTGATGCTAATTTTGGCACCAGTGCATTAAAAAATAGTCTTTCAAGTTGGTTCTTTCCAGTTGAAGCGTGGCACACAGTATTTTTACAATACATATTAACCTTTTTACACTTCTATTTCACTGTTACACACACACACACACACACACAGATTCAGTCTTTTTTACACTTCATAAAACTCTGATTTTACCATTCAGGTTTCTCCACTCTGGCGCTTGTATCCATCCAAACCCAAACGCTACATACTTCGCCATCACCTGTGTAATATATTAGAAAGCACTGGAGTCCCTGTGCTGTGATCATAAAAAAGCTAGCAGTGGAAACATTAGCCGCAATATGTCTCAGAAAGTCATAAAACCAATTTACGAGTGCACTTAAGCGCCATACACCTCCTGGAGCCATTTTGTAAAGATGCAGACAGAGATAGTTCCAATTACCCAGGTTTAAAAGTAATAAAGTGGGATCGATAGGTGATAGAAGGCCTGTTAATCCCGAACCCTCACGCTTCTTTGCAACTTTAGTCGTGCCCTTTCCCCAAAATAAAATCTAAGCACTCATTTATAATTTGTTTTATACCTATGGGGCTGGTATTGCTTTGACCCGTCAGCTTGAGTCACGCACACTGCCATTTCCCTCCAATAATGTTTGCGTATGATAAAAAGTCTATTCAGTAAAGCTGTTCGTTTTGCTGGCTGAGAAAGTTATTGTGTGCATATCACAACGGAAATATAAGTTATCAGGACATTGTAATGGAAGTAAAAATAGAAAGTCACCACACGTTCACACACTGAACATACGAAATAACGTTAAATATATGAAAATATAATAAATGTTTTTACATCAATCAATACAATATTTAAAGTGTACAGTTTATCAAGCTATTCAACTTTGTCCTTCACATTTTGATCATTGCTATATTTTTCATTTCGACTGGAAATGTGCCTTGTTAGAACATGGGGGAACTTTGTAAACGCTGGTATTTGCAGTTCTATTGGCAGTAGCTGTATGCATTAAAGCTGCTATACCTAACTTTCAAACCACAGAAAATGTCCTAAAACCCATAGTTCCAGGCTCTAAAACAGGTTTGTTTCTATCGCTAGTTTTCACATGCAAAGTATTTTTGGCCTCCCGTGCGGACTTTTTAGAGAGAACAGTGAAAAAGACAGGACTGCCTTCTCTCAGCCAATCATCTTTCACCCCCATAAATTCAAATATTGACCCGCTGGGCTCAAAAGTATACAGATGTTTACTAATTCGACAATGACAGCATGTAGTGGTTTGTTATGTCCGCAAAAGGCTTTTAAAATATACTTTTCATTGAGACTAGCTTAATGTATTATTCATGGGGGTAAAAAAACAAGTACCCTAGCTTTAAAGGCCTTTCTATCTCACTGCCAGAGTCACTGAACTGTCTCTGTTCTACACTTGTACATTCTCATCAGTATCTCTGCTCTGATGCGTTCTGATGAATTATTTCGGTGTGACCTTTTCCACAACCCCCCCCCCCCCCCCCCCCCCCCCCCTTCCCTCCTTCCACCCCCCCGCACCGGACCACACCCCCCACCTCCTCAAAGACCCCACACTAATGTAATGCCATTAATATGATATAATGGCTTGTTATGGAGTCACTAATTAGACAGTGGAGCAGTTAGCTTCGTTATCATCCCTCTTTAGCATTAATTGCGCCACTAATAGGGCTATGGAATATTTGCATTCAACTGTGTAAGCAGTCCGCTCGGCTCTCTGACAGAGACTGGCTGTGCAAAGATTTACCCTGTGCCTTATTGATACAGATGACGAATCCCAAGGCTCATAAAACATGCTCACAAACAGCAATAAAACATAAAGCATATACTACTTTTACTATTTCTATGTTTTGTTTATCATATTTTAACAGTAATAATGCATCAGTTTAATATAACACTTGTTTGGACACATATTAGTATTCATTCATTCCATACACAGTGGTGATAAACTACTATTGCAGCCACAGCTGACCTGAGGCACACTGACAGAAGCGAGGCAACCAGTATGTACCATCGGCCCCTCTGACCACCACCAATCATTTACACTCACACACCAGATTCACTCAAGGCAATGTGAGTAGAGTATTTTGCCGAAGAACACAACCACAATTTGGCAATTTACAGCCGCAGCCGCCCCACTGTGGCACCTGGTGTTCCCAGAGGTCTCCCATCACTGTAGTAACCAGGCCCTGCCCTGCTTAGCTTCAGACGTCTGATGGGATCTGGCTTACACATGCATGTTTAGTCTTTTTAGTAATAGAGGCAACATCATTCCATTGTTTTCCTGTTCTACCACTGAAAAAATCATTTGATCAGATGTGTAGCTAGGTACGCTTGTTTTTTAATATGAAAGGTACTTTGATAAACTCTCCATGTTGATCCTGTTGTGCAAATATATTTTTTTTCTGGCAACCCAGATTCTTTCCAGCTTTTTTCAGCGTTTTACAGCCCAGTAATGCTTTTATAGCAGCTCGTTTTATTCTTGTGTCCAGAGCAGCCTTGCAGCCTTGAACTGATTTAGTGAGCCCCTGCCGTTGGGTAGTAAGCTCCTAATTGGAAGGTCAGGGGGATGTGTTTGAGCGTAGCAAGAGATCAGCTGTGCAGTCAGGATGTAAAGGTTATCCAAAGCCACCCGGAGATATGAAGATCTCATTTCCCTGGTTATTAGATTGGCCATCATAATATGTGATGTGAGACATTAAAACACTGAAATGTTAAAAAGGGGAATACTGTCCTGTTTAATGGCTAGGGATGCCGGCAGTGAATCACGAGGGACTCACGAGAGGTTCTCTATATAGGAAACTGACTTTGCATGTATTTTGACTATTTTATCATCTAAATGCATTTATATCAAGTTGAAAATAAATAGTCTTGTAAATTGTTGAGATAAATATGGGCTATGTCTGATTTAAAAAAGTGATGGCCAATTTAAACTGAAATTTTTTGTGTTGTTTATGAAAGCCCACCAATACATGGGGATTATTCAAAAAAATAGGAAGGTTGCACAGCCATCATCTGCAGTTAGTTGGTTTTTCCAACATTTTTGAATGATATTATGGATATTGATGTTTTTTGTTAGTTTCAAAGAAGTGAAGGAGAGGCCGACAGTCATTCTGAAATCATTAAAATCTCAACCGATCTGATCTATTGCTATAATTGTGGTTGGAAGTGAAGTTGTCATGTGGTTCAATTCAAATCAATTCAATTTATTTTTGGACAGCCCTAAATCACAACAGCAGACACCTCAACACTAGATCAGAGAGTCAATCAGTTCGTACAAATTCTACAATAACAAACTGATAGGAGCCATAGGTCCATAGGCAGCTGCATGACCAATGTCCATAAATATTTGTGATTAAAAGCAATAGAACATTCACAATTGCAAGAAATGACTAGCAATTTTGTACGCTACACATTTTATTCACATTTTTCTTTCATGGTGTTAGCTATTTTACCATTGCACATACAGTACATAAGTGTTCCTAATCTTCTCTGGCCTTCATTGTGACTAACTGAATTGAAGCCACCCATTCAACACCCGTTACATTTTCGAAACCGTCTGAATGATTAATGCCTCGTGGTACTTTTGACACCGTTCATTTTTGTCCACCGAGGCCTATAGCGTCTTCCCCACAACAGCTGCAGTCGGCGGCGGTGAGGAGTTGCATGCCAGGAGGTAACCACACGGCCCAATATTCCACGTTATTATTGACTGATGCTCGGCCCAAGTCCGTCCCATGTGCCGTGGGTTTTGATGGGCCTTGGGTGGAGTGGGATTTGAAGGGGGGGGAGGGTGGAGATAAGTGCTACATGTCTGGAGTTTGCTGTCAGTCTGGGCTGGATCGCGTGAAAAACATGAAAAAAAAAGAAAACGGAGGCTGGCTTGCATGTTTTCTGGCACGCAATGTCGGGAGTGATGTCGTGGGCAGACACACGCGAACGGCCAGATTTGCTGAAAGGAACCTGAATGTTAGATCAGAGCATGGTTTGTAAATTGACATGTTAACTATCTGCATCTTGGACAGAGTAGAGATTACTCGAAACATATGCTCGTATTAATATCGTAATATATTTAAAACGGACTAGGCTTACCCAAGTGCTGTGCAGACATGTGAAAAAAACAACAACTATGATGAAAATAAAGGAAAAACTGAAATATCATATACAAACTGACAACCTATCACTATTGTACCGTGGACCCCCTCGCAAATGAGATGCTGCATCTCAAGCGGCTGTCTTTCCTTTTAAATAAAAATAAAAAGTATATAAAACTGACAACTTGTCTTTTGCTTTCTGGTATTAAAAGCCAAAAAGAAAAAGTCAATTTTCCGTGATAATTGAATGAATTATGTGGATGTATTCTTTTATAAACTGTCACACACAGATACAGCATATAAGATATATACTTAATAAATGAAATATGGATGTAGCAGCTGTGGTCTATTTTACTATACATTGCAATACATTCAATTAATTAGAATAAAATATTAAATATGCAAATATATATATGTTTTTTTACCAAACAGGATATGTAATGCATGTTCTTGTTTTACCTTGAATCAGAAAACTAGTAATTTATTTAATATACAGTATATGACTTTATATTTACAAACCAATACATGAAAACACAAAAAATAAGCATCCGTGCAGGATTAACATTGTGCGTAAAACTCCTTCAACACAACAAATCTCCCCTGACCACAGCAGTCTTTTCCCAAAGCCAATCTTCTACTATTCCAGCAATTGATTTTCCTCATTCGTTTCCCCTCTTTTCTTTTATTGAATACACCTTTTCTGTCGCCCACGTCCCACAGCCTGGATCAATACCCCAACCTGCGCGTTACTCCGTGCTAAAACACAAGACATAGCATAGTGTATAGTATCTCAGCGGGAGAGGGAGCCGGCAAGGTTGTCTCATACGTCTTCTACTCTTCTCCCTGTATGTTATTCCATTCACTTCACTCACTCCCTCGCGCCGTCCGCCATAGAATACGTAATGCGCGAAGGTGACAAAGTTAAGAGATTGAGAATGCATTTACAGCTGCCCCGTCTCTGCCGCTTGCCTTCTCCTACCTTGAAACGCCTTGTAATGAGTGGCTGAGTGAATTGGACTGTGTGGGTGTGGGTAAGTAATGGGAGTCATATTGGTTCTTATGGGGTCAGTGGAAGAGAGTGGGCGCACAAAGGAGTCGGACGGAGAGAACGGGGGTGTGTAACAATAGCACGGACAGTGGGGGGTGGGGGGGGACTGGTGCGTACTTGATGTTCAGGCTGTAAGTAAATGTATACAAAGGATTGGTCACTAAATGGGAAATGAAGATGGAAGGAGAGAAAACCGATTAAATATTCTGATTGTAGTACATATAAATTGATAATACTGAGGGTGTTATCAGTTGTTTGAAAGTGCGAAAGTGATTAGCATCGCTTTTAATTGGAGAAATCTCCTTTTTCATGCACATAAATATGTGTATAACTGTCACACGTTTACGTTTATACTTTGCATCCCCAGTTTCACACCTGAATTGATGAAAGAGGTTCTGAGAGCACACAAAATATTCTTAAAAATATTGCCTTTAGACATGCACCCCAGGTACAAAAAACTAAACAAAAATGACTATATAATGCAAAAAGAAATTATCTGCACTGAAGAGAAAACATTTAGACATGGTTAATTTCTCTGCTCTCTTTTCCACAAAAAACAAACTTGTGGACAAACACGTACAGGACTTTAAAAAAAAAGCCTATTTTTGAACTACAAAAGCACAACTATTAAGTCCTGCTTCTATCTGCTAATATGTATCTTTGATAATGAGAAAATAAATGCAATCTATGATCTTATATAGTTCAAGTGCGCATATACAAGATTTTCATTACTCAGGTGCTCATTTAATAGATATTGATAGATATGAGAAGTTTTGCAACGGTTCAAGCTAATTGAAGACTACAGTCACCTTTCAGTTTCTGCCTGGGGGCATTAGGATTGAAAGGCCAAATTTTATGAATGAAGTGTGTTGAACAGCCAAACTTCCCGGACATACCTTTGTTTTTCCTCATCTATTGCATAACCTGTAAAGCCTCTATGGCACATTAGTCAGTAGTCTACATGTGACCTCACCTGTCCCTATACTCTGAATCTCCGCTGCGGTTAACACCCAGGCCGACAAGATCGCTTCATCTCGGTCTCATACGACTCAACCGCTTGACTATATTCAGCAGTTCAGCGCCCGGGACCCATAGCGAGCTGTCAGGCCCAGTGTGGAGATCCCTTGCTGGGCTTGCTGTTTCCACCGACTCCCCTTCTCTGATGACAAATGACCTATGTCTCCAGCTCAGACACCGGGGGCCGAGGCGAAGGCGGGGTGAGGGGAGGCTTTAATAGTGTAAAGTGCTCCGTTATATGTCCTGAATTTTAAAATGGTGCTTGCGGAAAGGCCGTAAAGGGAGAAGAATGAGACGTGAGGCTAAGAATGATCGTGTAGGTGAGAAATGGACACTTTGAAATGACAAGGACCCCATTCACCTATCCGTTCGCTTTTACCTTTAGCCTTAGATCTCTGCGCTTGGCTATGCTAGCAGAATGTAAATACGGTTTGCGAGGTGTGATCTGTTGAAAGACACATTCCCCAGAGGTCTAACGGTTCCATTTGTGCCAATATTTGTTGTTGAGTCGCATTGTATTTCGGGCCAAACCGCTTACAACTGGCGCAACAAACACCATTCATGGACAATGCTAAAAAACGCAGTGAAATCGCGGTGTTCCTCTTGCCTCTTTATAATACCAGTCACCTAATAAGTGACACTATTCAGAATTTCACTTAGCTAATTATCTGCAGACTGCTTCTCAATAAAAGACAGTTGTTACCATTCCAAATCTGATAGGACAAAAGAAGGGTAGCGACAAAACGTGTCTCACTGTGACATTGGGAAGAAAAAAATAGTCTGGTTAGAAGGAGTACTTTGGAAGTCAATGCTCAATATTGCTCTTGCATTTTAATTAAGCTTTTTTCGGTCCAAATAACAATGAACAAAGAGGGAAGCGAGGACAGTGCCAAATATGAGTAGAGAACAGTTGGCAGTGTTGCCTGGCACCTCTTAAGAAATGAGTGAATTCCAGGTAGTAGAAATGATTTTAGTTCCAACATCAGCCAAATTAACAATGTGATTTTCCAAAATTGGTGAGAGCAGATCCATTTCTTTGTTCCACCCAATCCACAAAACCAAAGAAAAGTTACAGAACCAGTGTGTGTTGTCAGCATGAGAAACTGAACTCAACTTTAATGAGAAAATTTTTTTGAGTTGTTGCCATTGTTGTCTCTGTAAAAGAACAAAACGTTGAATTACAGACAGATAGTTTTTTGTCTCATGGTTCAAATTGAGGGGGGGGGGGGGGACGAAATCTGAGCAGTGCGGAGTAATTTAGACCTATTAGAATGCCCAGGAGATTGACCATTCACGTACAAGACAACTCACTGTGACTAAAACTTTCTGCTTTGTTCCATCCAAGGTTTTCCGTAGCTCCTCCAATATTGTATTATATCAGTCAAAAAAGGCCTAATATGATGGGGATGTATTTTCTCTATTAAAACCCAGTGTTAACGGGATACATAGCAGGCGACAACGGTGCACATTTACACACTGTACGTTCAAGGAAAGCTTCCCGCTTCCTCTTTGTGCTGATTCAAATGGCAGCATCAGCAGTGCAGAGATGTGCTAGACGGGCAAAGAGACATAAGCTTACTTCAGTGCTCCGGGCGAACGAGCTACCGTGCTTTTAAGGAATTGTCTGCCTTCTGAGCTATTCATAAAGCACAAGAACATTTCAAAATAGCAAAAAAAAGGCTTGCTCCAAACTGCATTTCCGCACTAATTAAAGCAAATACAAAAGTGCGTGACAGAGGTTAGTACACTTCAATTTCTCATTTGCAGGTGCAGGGTTTTCAGGGGGTTTTTTTAAGTATAAATGGTGACAATTTTGAGACATCCAGGCAAATATTGTGTTATTTTGAAACACAATGCCTGAAGCACTGAAAAAGCTCTGTGGTTGGTAGCAAAACATTGAGTTCTTAAGTAAGTCTGAATCTCATTTTTGGATTTGAATTTTTCACAGTTAATACTATCAATCTAAATTAACCTTAGAATATGTAATGTGTGGAAATGTGTGTTGGCAAATGGAATATAGAAGAAAATAATATGTATTGCGTTAGGGATTTTATTTTAGGCTAACCATTCCCAAATCGCCATAGTTACCTGTACTAAGCTTTTCTTGCCATTTATCACAGGCTGAAGCTTCATCTCTGTTTGCTTGAAATATTTCCATACACATATTTTGTCAGGAGTAAACATAATTGGAAAGTCACCCAAATGTCCTCTCCAAAAATTACTTTCAAATTGAACCTGGTCATGCGAGGCGTTTTTGTAAATGTTACCAGATTCCCATCTCCCATGTTTTTCGCGGCTCCACAGAGCTCAATGGAATTTTGTGGATTTAATAGTTCCATTATGGAGTTGTCCTTCACATATCTTTAAAAAAAGCAACAAAAAAAGCAAACGCATTGATTTCACCTTCAAATCTAATCCGATCTCTGGAGTCCCTACGGCAAAGCAGTACAGATTAGAAGTCTCCCATTCATACAAGATACTCTATAATGTATTTTTTCTTGTAGACATATTTATATTCTCCATTTGACATGTTCTTTTTGAAAGTAAACAAATAGGGAAATGCTTGCAAACCATCCATCCATCCATCCATTTTCTACCCTTTAATCCATTTCTGGGTCTGGGGGGTGGCAATCAGAGATGCCACCCAAGTCTCATAGCACCAGCCCCTCACTGACCCTCTGCAGGTGGTGAGTCCACAGGAGGACGGTTGCTCTCTGAGTGTGAGCATAGCCTTGATCTTTCAGTGGGAGCTTTGGGCAAAGTGGGGTTAAGTGTCTTGCCCAAGGACACAACGACAGCAGTCATCAGTGGGAGTCGGTGGAGAAGGTGCAGAGGTGGGAATTGAACCCACGACCTTCTGGCCTAAAGGCCAATGCTCTACCAACTGAGCTACTGTCGCCCTATGCTACTGTATCTATGCTTGCAAACCATAGATTTTATTTAGGACTAACCAAGATTCGATTTGAGCATATGCTATAGGGTTAGCTTAGCGCAGATTCAGGTGCTAACATGGTTTCTAAGGCAAGCTGGAGTTTCCCTCGCAAAGGACGGCTTCTAATTGGTCAATCCTCATGTTTCATATTTGATTTACAAAGACAATAACGAAATAAAAAACACCAGCATCATAGAGAGAGCTAAACTAGGATTTTTTTAAGCTGAAAATGATGAGTGTGACAAAAGTTACTGAGCTGGAGAAGTTAACTTTCACTCTAAGTCAATAGAACCAGAGCGAGTTCGAGCTAAATTTTGTCCGCCAGCACTTCCCTATTGGGTTTCATCGCGCTATGGGGCTAGCATTGTCCATCTATATACAGTCTTTATTAATAACAGACCATTTAAAGTTGTGCAATGAAACGTTATTCGATATATTATCCATACCTTCTCATCTTTTTGCTATTCTTCTGCAGAATCCAATCTAATCCACTTTATTTATATAGCACATTTTATAAAACATGTTTCTAAAGTGCTAAAAGATAAAAGTAACACATTAAAAAGTCCGCCAGCTTTAAATAAAACATTCAAAATAACATAAAAACAACAATCTTAAAACAATAAAATAGATAAAATAGGGAAACAGAATTGTCTCATAGTGTGCTATTAACAAGATGCAATAGCTACAGCGGCTTACCCCGACTCGCAAACAAAAGTTATTATTCTTCTCGTGAGGGTACAACATTATAAAAAGCTCAAAAACCCCATTTAAGCCGAGCAACCTCAACATGTGTGATTTAATGGCGTCTTTATTTTGTGTGAATCCATGCATCTTCATCTTTGTTCTTCTTTAGCGTGTGATTGCTAATGGCGGTTGATGATTTCGAGCCGCACTTAGGGCCTTGGGCTCCCGCCGAGTCTCCGCGGGGGGTGCCCTCTCCGAAGAGTAGACACCATCTGCTGAGTGGCACTTGTCCACACAAACACACACACACGAAGGCACGCACACACGCAGGCACGCACAAGTTACACATCTGTTGCACTGCTCATCTGCTTCCTTTGACTTATTCTTACACTTTCTGTTTGAAAGGCTCCCCAAGCTTGTTTCGTTCAAAGCGTTCGTATGTCGTACGTCCTGGAATGTTTCAGTTTTTTAATCATGTGACTTGACATGACTAAGCTACTAGTCATGTCTGCGGAGACAAGAGCCAGCACACAGTGTGAGAACTGAGGTTTTTGAGCAGTGCAAACGACTGCTATTAGATATTGTCCATGTTTCCATAATAATGAATCAATCTGTGATACTTAAATTCATGCGTCCATAGACTAACATGCATTTTGAACGATCAATTCATATTGGATTAAGATTAAGATGAAGAGAGATCTTTTATAATCGTTCCACAGTGGGGAAATGTCAATGTTGCATCACAGGTTACAGAGCAGTGGGAATGAGGAGCCCCCAGCACGAGATTAGTGGACAATATTAAGTATAGCACAAATCTATACTACACTTTAAAACACTTCTACCATGTGGCTGAACTGTCTTGTTATTCTATTGCAAGTTCTTCCCATGACTCCTCCTGTTCCCATTGTCGTTCCTCTTACACGCCCTCCAGTTTACGTTCCTTCACCGACTTGACCATGAGATGTATTTGGGTGTCATTAAAAGAGATTCCCCCCTCGCTCGTCTGAAGGGGACCACTCTAATGCCACCGTAACACTGCCGGGCCTGTGCACATACCTCTTCCTGTCTGGGTCCTTCGCAGATGGCCCGGCCCAATTTGTCTCCTATGTCTCCCTCACTCAAGGTCACCTGGGCCAGACGTTTTACTCTGGGCATTGTGCACAAGTGACTGGCTGCAGTTGATCCCATGAGTCTTGTATGGCTTTATGAATGGAGCCCATTCACCGACATATTTTTCAAATCCTATTTTTGAAATTGGTATATAATCCTTCCTGAGCAATTTTCACAAAATTGATGCTGAACTTAAATAAATGGCTGCATACTTTTGCGTGAGAGTCAGACTGAATCCTGTTCCCAAGACATAAGAATGGTGGAGTTTGAGTCTATGAGCCGTATTGTCTTTGTCAGTGATGTCTTTCAGTGCTAATTTAGACCGATCGGGGTATTTTACAGGTCACATTTCATTCATAATTTGGAGTGACCAAATAGTATCTCCTACATTTTGAGCTGCCACTGTACACAGCAACTTGAATCACAAAAATTGCTATTAGAGCCGTCTTCCTTTCTCGACCAAATCTTGTCTTAGTTGATTGATTGTTTTATTAAATATACGTCTATGTGAAAAGTGCAAAGGTTAGAAGACATTGGGGAAACAGGTGAATATGTTGGTATTTACTTTGCCATTCAAGCCAGATCAAACCCCATTCAACCATTTATTAATTATTTGAACAAATGTTTTGTCATTATCATATTGAGAGCATTTGTCACACTTTTTAGTCAATGAATCGTTGGACGGACCAAGAACGTCTCTGGTTGACCACAGACTAATCCCTATACCTTGACAATCCTTGACAGTCACTGTAAATGCGATTTGTGAGATTGAGCGACTTTTTATCAGTTTTCCCACGTTGACCCCCAGATGAAATCGGGGAGCTGTCGCGGCGCTCGGTGCCAGAAGAAGGGCACAGAGAGGGCCCTCCACACCAGTGTCCCCGCGCAGAAATGAAAGAGGAAGGGATAGATGAAAGCGGCTAAGAAGGGATGACTCCCCTGATCCCCTCCTGTCTTCTCTATCACCCACCCGGAGGAAAATTTAATAAAGTCCACATACCAGGAGAGAAATGAGAGCACATGAAAGAAAGATAGAGCGATGACTGACCCCTCCCACCCCACCATCACTGACCTTCGGAGCAGCCACAGAGCAGGCAACCCCAGGAGGCAGGATGAAACGCATACACACAAGGTCCAGACAAAGCAAAACACAAACAATGCTGACGGCGGAATAGGATCTGTGCGCACCGGTGATACGCACGCACTCGGCGACACAGGGCTTGCACACTGACACAGCAGTGGTGTCCCAGGGGCCGGACTGTCCTCAGGCGACTGGTGGTCATGCAGCGACGCCAGCGGTAGAGAGATGACAACGGAGCAGCGAGGGCAAGCTTCATAATCATCATTTCAAACACGTTTTTTAACCCTTTAATGTTCACTCCTTGAAGAAAGCAATGTCATTTTCTATGGATTTTCTAAGATGTTGGAGCACTAATAACAACAATATTTTTTTATTTATTAGCTTTTTTTTTTCTAATTACAGGCCTCTACAAAATGGTTGAGAGGCAGTTTGACGGTAAAAGTGCCCAAAAACCAAGTTATAGAGATGCCCCAATGAGGTAGATTTCTGTTCCAAGCTTCAAGTAGACATAGTGACTCAAAAAGTGATCTTCCAAATTGAAGGGCTAAAATGATTTGCTCTCGTCTAAATTTCCGGTCTTACACATTTATGTTGGTTCCTGGACATCTTTCACAAAGGGAGTCAGTGTGTGCCAATCCAGTTCCAATGTTATACTTTAGTTTTTTACGTTTACCAAAACTGAAAATGGTAATTATTTATTCATCACTTAATCTCATGGAATACATTCATTTTACTTATGTAAAATTCAAATGCATATACAACAGTCAAGGCAGGTTTAATTGTATTGCACAATTCAAACACAAGGAAACTCATAGGTCCACATGCTGTTTTATTATTATTACTTTGAGGTATCAATCAATCAATCAACTTTATTTGTATGGCGCCTTTCCAACACAAGGCCACTCAAAGCGCCTCACAACCCACATAGTATCACACAAATCAGAGACATCAATAAATACATTAAAAACAGAATAAAATCACAAATAATGAAAAAAAAAAAAAAAAAAAAAAAAAAAAAAAAAAATATTAAAAGCACACACGGGATTAAAATAATAAATAACCACAATGCATTAAAAAAAAAGAGTATGTATCAATAGAATCCTTCAGCCGTATGCACAGCTAAAAAGAACAGTTTTTAGCCCCGATTTAAAAAAAATCGGGGCTAAAAAAAAATGCAAGTATAACTGCATCTGATCCTCAAATATTTTCTGTTCCAGTATACACCACTACTACTTCATAAATTGTTGCATTTATCCCACTCTTCGCTAGTGAAGAGGATCCATCTTTATCATTCATTATGTGGAGACGTGAAACGACTTGACTCTTGACCGGAGGAAACGTAAACAAATATGGATCGCTAACTAGACGTCTCAATACAGTGAGAAGAGCCTTGACGGAAAGTTAAAAACTACATTCGGCGCTTCTGCTCCTCTCATCAATCTCCTTCAATCAATGCAAATTACCAAATGTGCTTCGCAGTGGCAGAAAACAGAGCCTGGGAATGTGGTTTTGCAAAATCGGTTAGTTTGCAGGTTTTTGTGGTCGTTTTCCATTAAGGTGGGGGGGGGGAGCTATATACAAGCTCACTGGTGTATCATAGCTGTCTTGCTTCTTCCATCCCATATCGTTGGAGAGTGCTTATAGCGGGTCCTATGCAAATTTAGGCATTTTATTCACTTCTCATTGTCTGTGATTTAGCGTCTTCCCATGTGGTCACAGCATCCAATTATACTGTTATGTGTACGAAAGTAAGAGATGAATGCACCTGGGGGATGAGACAGCAGGCTGTGTAATTGGGAATGTAAAAGTAGAAAAAAAAACATATTCCGGTCTACTATATAATCAAAACATAATTGTTCAACATTGTGTTCTGTAGAAACCTGTTCAGGCTCAGTATAGTAATTCTCCTGCTAACACCGTATAACATTTCCCGAGAATTGTTTTCTTTTTCTTTTATGGATACTAAATGTATAGAATGTAAAAAAATTTCTTATGTCTTCTTTTATGTTTAAAACTTTGAATGTTCATTTAATAAGAATAAAATGTAAATAAGCTAGCACTGCTTAAAGGAATTTCTACTTCCGGGTGGATCATTCATCAAGACTATGGGTCCTCCCAATGGGCTCTATGCACGCACCACTTCCGCGTTTCAGATAAAGCCCCACCTCACTTCCTGTTCGCGGGAAACGGCTTGAGTTTCACTGGAGTTCAGCAGTGGTTAACACGAGTTTCCCGAATAATGCTCAAACGAGAATTAAACTGTGAGGATACTGGGCATTTTTGGGTCTCACAGCTGAATGTATCAATCTAATTACTAAAAAACGTCACTAAAACCCACCTAAATGCCATAGGAAATCATAGGCAGGAAGTGAATGGGCTGTGCTTTGTTAACAGGAAGTGACGTCACGCCTCCCCGTGCATATAGCCCATTGTCAATCATTCTGGTAATAGGAGAGGGCGGTTCAATCCTAAAATTTGGGAAAATCCTCCTATATACTATAAATTACCACAAAACTACCTTGAATAGGTCATTAAGCAGTACTAGCCTACACTTTCGTTTTATTAAAATAACCTTCTAAGCCTTGTACTGTATATCAAATGTGACATCACTTATCTACCTACACTGTATATAGAGAGATCATACGACAACATTTTGGCCTTGTGTGCAAATTTTAGACCAACCAATCATAATGTTTTCCTTTCTTCGGTTCGCTCATTTGAATTGAAAATAGCCTGTCAAATCAGACATGTGGGCAACAATTCATCTTGTGGAACGCTCCGTCTGATTTGTATAACACGCCTACTATGCAACTAGCGCTGGGTTGCCAGGTAAGTATATGGCCATTTCCAACATGCATTTTTGTATGTAAACCCTCATCCACCCTCATCATTCCCCACCTGTCAAGCTGCTAATGCTACCAGGCTCTCCTTTTCCAATTGTCAACCGTGATGGATTGGTCCTACAGGTTCTCCGGAGCGCCATTTCTCATGTAGGAACGGCCCACATCTCCGCAGCAGTAGATAGGAGAGTGAGAAGATCCGTCACAGCTGCCTTCATGCCGAGAAGTCATTTTTTAGCCGCCAGATAGGACTCTGTTTGGCATCTCCAACACGTAAATGTGATTGATTCAGAGAAGCGGCTTGGTGGTGGCCGGCGTCAAGTACTGGACTCAGACAGGAATTGTTGTTGTTGTTTTTTTTTTTTTATTCTCAAGCCCCGCGGACGTAGAAAATGAGTGTTTTCAATATGGCTTTTATTCCCCCGTGTTGGTCCAAAAAGAAAAAAATAAATAAATGCTTAGTGAGCTCTTTTTGGAACTTATAATGCTCCCAGCTATCCCAGTGTAACGGTAAATTGGGATTGGCTATGAAGTTTTGGAGAAATTGGTGATGTGGGTACTTTACTTGCACTAGAATATACAGCATTTTACACTTGCTCCTCATTTTTATGATTTTTGCTAAAGTTGGTGATTTTAGACTTTTTTCATTATTATGCTAAAGATAGAGATTTTATACTGCTTTCTTTTTATGCTAGAGTTAGGGATTTTATTTTCTATATTTTATTCTATTTCATTTAGAGTCATTATTAATTTATCTTGTGTTGTGTGCTCCTCATTCTCACTGTATGTAACTTGTAATGCAACACTGAAATCACTGATCTCTTCATCTTAATCTACTTCAGCTCATGAAATGTAGACTTTTTTGAAAACTCAACAGAGCCTAAATGATTTAGCAAGTCATAGCGTTTATACCACCAAAGTAGAATCATTTTACCAACTGAGAAAAGGGATTGGCAGCTCATCAAAAGCGTTTACTACTTCTTACAACTCACTTATTTGCCAGATAAATTCGAGTCTGTATAATCACAAAATTCGCTTCAGCTTTCTGTTAAATTCATGGCTGTACTTTTGTAACCACAAGTAAAGGAAGTGCGCTGTCTGCTAATTTAACACAACACTGAGCT